TTTAGCCCTTTCGCCAATAGACTCCTTCTCGTGTTTATTATCGCACATATTTTGTGGGGCTTTCTCGCACGGCATCTACATGTGTGCCGATGTTGAAACTAGAGACAGAATATACATCCAAATAAAGTGTAAAAAAAAATAGCATTTATTTGTTTTATACTTTTTTGCCCTATGTTCAGCGCCATGTTTGCATCTAGGTTGGATCCAGGCAATGAGGTCACTTGAACGGGACGAGCAACCTTGATTTTTTTTCTTTCGCTTCCCCACCAAGGATTATTCCACTTAGTTCCCATATAGTCATTCTACCCGCCACCGTAAGCTGCATATCTACGAAAAATTTCGGCAGAGGTTAAAAGGAGATTAATCAATATTTAAAAAAAGTTATCTGATTTCGGGGTACTGGTAAGCTGTGTAAGTTTTTAGCTTGGATAAGTATGCTACTGCTAAAGTTAAAGACCGGACTACTCATAATCGACCGCTTACCGGAAGCTCTTCGTTGAGATACAACACGTATTCGCACTACGAGCTGGGACGAAAAAAAAAACGGTCTATTGTCTTGTTAGCTTAAACCTTATCTTTGTCCTAGTCATTTGAATTATTTACTTCTGCGTCTGCCAGGGCCAATGCCAGCTTAGTGTTGCTATAACGATGTACTACGTCAATATATGTATCGCGTATCTAATAAGCAAAGTAAACAAGTCCCAAAAAGGACTCGTCTGTAGTTATGAAATTTAAAGGTCCGTCTACACGAAGACAATTTACCTGAGTAAAGAATCTGAACGCCCACCATTTGTGATCAATCAAGCTCACCCTATGTTTATTAAGGACAAACTTAACCTAGATGTACAACCATATATGTTTCAATACTTGAACTTTGAGACAGATCTTATTCTGATATTTAACATGCGTCTACATTTTTTAGGGTTGAGACATGTGAGTAGTTTGTTGTTTACAGCAACCGGGTATAATCGATAGAGACTATGTATCCTGCCTATTCTCAAGCGGAAATCAAACTGTTCAGCCAACAGGATCTATTACTTCAGCCCTCTATCGATAGTTTAGTGTATGTTGCAAATACTTTGTTGGATTTCGTGCAAAAAATTCCTCGGTAGATAATAATCTATGACCTGGATACTCGGAGACGTTCCAGGGAAAAAAGATCTCCTAACCATTATCGCACGAAAATTCCACCTGAAGCCAGTAAGAGAAGAGCTGGCTCAATGGCAAATTCCAACTTGTCTATGCACTGTAGAAAAGATGCAAAAGGTAGAAAAAGGATTACTTATAAACTATCAGGAAAAGCTCACGTAAACGCGAATACTGCATTGTACTCGCTTGATTAAGTTATTTCAAAGTATTATTAGTATTAGAGGATGGATTGTCTACTTCAGTTCTAAGCGCAGAATGTTGTGGGTTAACTGCGGACAACCAGCTTCCGGACTTGTACGCAATAGGGAAAGATATTCACTAAGAAAATTTTTCTGTTAGGATATGAAGGTTCTTTATTTCAAATTTTTAAAACGTCATAAAACGATTTTTACCGAACTTCGTTATGAATATCGGCTGAGTAGATTGGATAGATTGAGAAGAAAATACCCTTTAATAGACAATAGAAACGTGGGCTTTTTGTCGGTATGACAACGTTTGTCTTTACATCACTTTAAGGATGCAAGCAATCATCTTATGGGAAGTACTCTAAAAAATATAGCTTGTTCAGGATGAAGGTTCTCCTTTGAAGTGAGGCAAGATCCGTTAGCTATGAAGATCATGTTGACCTAGAGTCGAACTTCGTTTTCTGGCGCATGCTCATTTACAAGCTGCCTACCAAATGGCAAACGATCATAAATGTTAACGCCATTGAGCACCATTTGAGACGATAACGTTGGCCGTGCATGTATTCGTAAAAAACTGGCTGAGAATTTATTGGTGCACGAAATAACAACCAGTATGTTATTTCATAAGCGTTCATATCTAATAGTTATCTTAGCTAGGTTTCTAGCTTGAAATAATAACAGTTTTAGCTCCACTTAGGTAGTTTTTTATATATTTTCGACAATTGATGACCAAGTATAAGTGCGCTTTTGTTGCAAGTTGTTGCAGTTGTGCAGTACGTGCTATTTCAACTATCAAGTTCGCGAAAATCTTTTTCCTTAGAGCTGTAGTTTTTTTTTTGTTTAAGTTTAAATAGGTTTAAGTTTCTATTACTTCTTTCGAGAGAACAGAAGTACTTCGCTGGAAATCTATTTTACTTAGGTCAGACAACGATAGACTTGCTGCAAAGATAAAACTGACGCGGAAATGCCGTATTATTTTTGAAAAAAATCTGAGAGGCGCTGTATTAAGAACAGCTACCAAAGCTAACGGCAAACGAACCCAATGTTCATGTGATCGCTATGACTGTATTCAGAAGTAGCGTGGACTAGCTCGAAATTACTACCACTGATTTTCAAGTCTACCATTGCTCTTGATGAAATTTTTCATAAAAAAATAGCTGCTGTGCGAACATCCTGAGGAAATTCCGAGACATCACACGGCATCCTGGTTTAGATATGCTCCCATTGCAAAATGACGCAATTGCGTAAAAGTACATAGATTTGTACAGGCTGCCTTGGTGGTTTTTCTATCAAAATCACTTTTTACGGGCTCCTATTGTAAGCAGAGAGCAAACTGAAATACATAAAACCGTCATCGACTAGATTTAAAAGAAACTTGTGCGGAGCTTAATCCAGTCGTCCCCTGGAAGGGGTGCAGGTGCGCAGTTCAATTAAGGATTCCTCTTTTGAACCCATGTTTGTCGTAAGTAGTACAAGCTGGTTACGGCATACCCAATATATTAAGAACGTCTACATGTCTATATTCAGTTTTGTTTGGGCATATCCTTACGATAACCAAGAGGTTTATGCATTTCTAAAGCCGACTAGAAATAAGCGCAATTCTTTTCCCCATGATAACGAGGGCAGATAATAAGGGCAGGAACAGGTGAGAGAAGCTAATCTGTCACGATAACAAATTTCGATATAAAGGGACATGTGACTTAGAAAGAGCTAGCATTCGAAGCTATACAGGACATTTTAGGATACCGTTTGTGATACGCCATTCTAGATGCAAAAAAGTCCAACGTTAGGTTATATACTTCCCAATAGAATAAACACAATTCAATGCCATAGTGTCGAAATACGATCATAATAATATTCCGTTAGAAGGTGAACAAATTTATAACGTAATGGCAAGGTATACCGACCGCTTGTAAGAGATAAATAGAACAAACGAGAAAACGCAAAAAACCATTGGGTAAAAATGCAGAAATGGAAGTGAAGAGTGACGGGATGGCATCGCTTGGGGCGGCGACGCAGAAAAGTGCGGCGTCCGACGTCTATATTGTGACCTGAGCTAATTCGGTCGCTGACAAAAATGAAGAACTGGCAGCGTTTCCCTATCCGGGAAAGCAACTCAGCTAAAAAAAAAAAACACCTTACGTAATCGCTAGAGGGCGAGTATACTAATTGTAATAAAACGTCAAAATAGAATCAATCAACAAGGATGGAAGTAACAAATAGGTAGGTCTTTTCATTTCCAGAATATCTATCTATGAGTGCGTCCTTATATGTGTCGAATATACATATTTTTCTCTGCAAATGATAAGGGAGCATGGTGTTTTGAGTTCGTGTCGGATATGAGTATCTAAGTAGAAGTTAATCGAGCGCTTTTCATGGCAGGTGCATTTTTATGCCAAGACTTCATCCATACTATATCTATGGTAACCGTCTCTTATAAGCAAATATGCGATAAATATAATACTCATATGTTGGGTCAGTTGATTAAAATTAACTATTGATTTATATATATAGCCATTTGGGTTGTATAGGCGAGGCACGCCTGGACATGTACTCTCATGTTCAGGTAATCCATAGGAAAGATGCTATACTGGACCATGTTTAGTTAGAAAGTAGTGACTTTGTAAATTTCAGCGTCGGACCCAGTGCATTCAAATTTTTAACTAGTTATTTATAGGGATCACTGGCCTAATTGGCGTTTCGTATTTGCTTTAAATAGAAGATCAATACTTTAACTTAAATTTCCTTCGTGAGTTCCGTCCGTAAAATCTAGCCGTTTCAAATCAACTATTTCTCGGTCCAGGCAGTAATTCTCTTTCAATTAAGTAAATGAATCTCACTTTAAAACAAATATGTATATAGTAATAGAAAATACCTCAACGGCCCGTAGTCGTATTGGCAGAATGATTTATCCACGGATATCTTGCTGTCCTTCAGATGCTCGCTTGAATAACTTGAATACGCAGGAAAAGCTATTCCCAGATTTCTTTGCCAACTTAAGTGAATTCGGGCGCACTTTTAGCGGTATGCTGACAACTTATGTAGTTGTACTTAATTTCGTTGAAAATAATGATGTTTATTTTAAATAGGCGCTCCTTTTTCAATTCCCTTTTGTGTGAACCTTAGTACGTCATCGCATCCCATCAATAAAAGCAAATAGCCACTTCTCTAATTTTTCAGTGGTTAAGGAATGGCTGGTTTTTTAGTCACAATATTTTCAGCTATTTCTATCAGCGAGGATGGGGTGAAAAAGGTTAACCTAACAAATCAAAGCACCAAATTCCACCTTGAGTTACAAGCAAGACATTTGAAAATTAAACGTATAGTTTACAATGAATAGTACTTTTCAGGACAGGGTCATTTCTCCTCCAGACGAACTCAGTGCATACGTATTTCTATAATAGTGGCCCTCGGCTTAATAATGAATATTGCTCAACGGCAATTTCTACCACGTCCTGTTACCAACCATCATTCCCACGAAAATTCTAATTTGCCACCATATGTTTGCATGCCACCAAGGGAATTTCAATGTATATTAATTAACAATTCGCAGCAGTTAGAAAGAGCGCTGCCTGCGTATGATGTTACTAGGCGTTATTCCGGTGTCCTACGCAGGGCAAGCTCCAGTCACTAACAGAACTGTATAATTCTTTCGTTTTCTCATAGGCTCTCATGGTGATTGGTTGGCTGGCTGCCAACGCTCGTGCTCGTTCAGACGACGGCTTTTCTAGCATATCCAGGACTGAAGACGTATGTTTCATGACATATCCAAACTCAGTAAATAAGATGCTTAGCTTTTGTATTTCGATGTCGTTGCTATTGATAATTTGGTTCGGTCGAATCGTTTTGTGCGCCAAATATCATGTAGAGTAATAATAATAATAACAACAAAGAGGCCTTTTTTTGAGCATATCCTGCACGAATGTATGGAGAATAACCGTACATATACGATACCTTATTTGAAGAATCTAGCTACTGCTTATTTAGGCCATGTCTTTTACATTCGTGCGTTTAAGTTTAGTTTTTACTTTCAAGTGTGTTCTGTTATGAACTAGATGAGTCCGTTCTAGATAAGTGACAGCCTGGAATATGTACGGCTAGAAACCAAATTTGGCAGCCTAATGTTAATGAATTTCCTTGTTGGGATAAGACCATTCCTAAAGGCGGATTCGTATCGTCCAGAAGAGAACAAAATGCCGCATATCTAGGAACTAAGACAATCATATTATCAATATGATTGGCGTATTAGCTGGCCTCAGCATGAGTAGTCCTGGCAGGTAATCTCAAACTTTACGGATCTCATAATCTATAGGATATACCATCACGTTTAAATGAAATACCTGAAGAGAGCACGTTTTTCAAGCCGAGAATAAACACAGAAAGTACGGTATGGGCTAGTAGCGGCGTTTAGTTGCTTTCCCGGGGAGTAGATTAAGTGCGATATATTCTAAGTGAAAGTCTATGACATTTGCATATATGGCACTCAGTTAACCTAACAATCGTTTGTTCTAGAGTATCATTAGGTTGTATAAACCAACTCAGTTATGCTTAATTAAAAGAAGGTAGAAACAATAAGCAGATTCCGGGGGCTACCCCTCGTTTGCAGCTGTAATACAATATTTTAAAAAGTGAGAACTCGCTCTTGTTTATTGAAAAACTTAAGTTAAAACAATTGGACTTGAACGCTGCAATTTTACATTAAATTTAGCTTTGCTTACAGAAGTTAGTACGAGAAACTTTTACGAATTGTTCTACATATGGGATGACATAGTGAAGACAACTTGGAACCTGTGGAGGCAGTAGCTTTTTCGAGACAAACTCAGAACACTCTTGATAACCATACTTAAATTAGGGTTGTAATTTTTTTGTTTCAATTCAGCCAGCTTATTTTGAGTATATGCGAGTTAGTTTATTGCAGGTCGTGATACGTGCTGCCTGATTTGTATTTGATTCCTATATACTGCATTATATTATACTATATAGTGCCATAATTGCAGTGTGCGAGTGTCCTTTGTAGTAACAAACAAAACACTCATCTCTGTACCCGTAACGGACAAACATGGCGTAGACTAAACAAGAATAACCATAAGGTTTCCTTGGTGTCTTGGAGACCACCTCAAGTGGATCTAGCCTCTTAGCATCCCTATTCTAGCGGTTTATGCTAGCGTTTACGAGAGAATAGCTAATTATACAAAAAAAGGTCCTAGCGGTCTCAGATTCCCATTTCTGCGTGCCCCCTTCCCCAAGAGGGCGAAGCAATTAGAGGAAAGGCTCTTAATCAACTTTTACCGTCCCCATCCTCCATCTTTCAGCTGGTATGAGAATCTAACAAATCATCATAGAATTCCCCTAGGTTACTGTTAGTCTATATCCGGTGTGCCAGCGCAACCTCTTCAAAACTGCGAGACGATACATATACACGTTGCTACACATCGTTATTTTAAACCGACTCTGAATATTTTTATTTTTACTAGAAAAAATTTCTCATGAAAACCAAATGAACCGTTTGTGGAGGAGTTGGGAATTTTTGTTGAAACGACTGATTAATCATGAGGGTATTTAGTTTTTATTTTGCAATGTTCGCTTCAGAGTTATGCGGGCTACATAAACAGTCTGGTCGCCAATTACTCGAGGGAGCGAGGAAAACGGTTTCTTGCCGCTAGCTTACTAACAGGCAGATGATGAATGTGCCGCCCTTCTGCCGACTTTGCTCGCCTTCATGGCCCATTTCCTGGCCTCTTTTCTGTGGTGGCCTTCCTTGTCATCGTCTTATCGCGCCGTTTACCCTTTTCCCTCTCTGTAAAATAATATGAGATTTAAGTTTAAGGGGGGGTTGGCTCTTTTGCGTTCACTCCGCCTGCCATGCACGACACCAGGAAAGCCCCGGCGCGCAAAGAGAAATCCTTGAATGCCTACCCCATTGGAATTCGCGAAGAATAACTTCGCTCTTAACAGACAACTACTTCAGTGTCTGCACTGCTGCTACCGCTTTTAACAGCTGTGCACGACCCCGACTATTACTGCCACTCGTCGTTCCGTCTATGAGCAAACGCTGGGTTCTTTCTCCGGTCGCAAAGAATTTATTTCCGTTCCGTTAACTTCAAGTTAAGGAAGAATGGAGTGAGTGAGTAGGAAGGACAATAAATGGGTGCGCAATAGACCACTAAATAGAAGAGGAACTGTGTTGATACCAAATGGTGTAACTTTTTTGCCACATTACGCCTTCAACGTTTTTCTTCTAATTGTTTTATATATCGTGATTCTTTCCCTAACGTTCTTACTTTCATGTTATTTATTGATTCAAGGTACGATATTTTTGCACATTACGAAAGGATAAATCTCACGTTTCCTTTGGCAATACCCTATCGTTAAGTGTGTTACGCTAAAGTAGTTCATGTTTCTAAAGTGCGCACCTCACTACTATAGACCTCATTACAAGTAGTTTTCTTTGACTAAAAAGACTGTGATTTTAATTAATAACGTCGATACTGAAAAGCAAGCTTTCGTCTCTGACAAATCATCATTTTACGCTATGATACGTAGGTAATCTTACTTAATCTCTATCGGTAGATGAATAGTGAGCCTGTAACCCAAACCCTGTACCAAGCCCAGTCAAAAATTTTTGCATTTATTGGATTATTACAGTTTTGCCGCATAGGGGCTTCTAATTCACTATGTGATAACCAGTTCAGCAAATCAGTCAACTCAGCATTGTATTCGAATTGCCCCTACAAGTTGCGACGAATTTCTGTCTCTGCCTAAATAGTTGCCTCTTACATAAGTTGCATCTTCATATTTGGTAACTTATGTATGCAATTATACCGGGCGCACCACAGCTCAGTGGGCCTTCAAGGGGTCTCGGGGAGGCAAAGATATTTTATCCACACCGTTGTCGAAATACAATGAAATCCCAAGATCGTTTTAGAATCGCTGGAATTAGAAACCTTTCATTCGCCTGAATAGATATAGCTTAGGCTTTGCTTGGGCTCATTATGTAAAACCAATGCCAGAACGCTACATCATATTTTTTCTGTAATTAAGGTCATTCATTCCATACATCATGTAGGAATGACATCTTCGACATATTGCGGTTTCAGTCTTTGGGCAACTATCAGTTCGGGTACGACATCACTGATTGGGATACGAATCGGAAAAGGTGGGAAGTAGCTGATGCTTACAACAATCGTAAGGGAGGCTATTCGATCACCGATGTTGACGGGAAGGTGCGCCATCTTGAGTACGTTGCGGACAAGTCTGGATTCCGCGCAGTAGTAAGGACCAACGAGCCCGGTAATGGACATATAGGATTATTGGCAAAAAAAACGCAAACTAACATCTTGCTAATTCAGAGTACATTTCTAGAGCTGTCCTGATATATACAAACGATTTTCTTGCTCAGGACCTATACCCGCTAGTTGGTGGAAGCGTATGTACCTTACAGACGTGACAATTGATCCATTCGAAGTGTATTTAGGAATAAATAAGGTGTCATAAATTTTTTTTAAGCAGCAACATAAGTTGACTGTTATGCTCATCTCTCCTGTTCTATATAACTGGAAAGAAATGTCTTTGTCCTTTTCCTTCCGGATTTCTTCAGTCAGCATCGGTTCATAAAATATGGTACAAGTGATCATCATTTGATTGTTAATCCATGTAGTTAACTCCATAATTCTGTTGTATTTATTTTCATTGCCAAATGACACCTAATATGAATCTTTGCTTAATAAGCTTCGACAAGTACTACTCCTACTAATAGCTTACCCACGTTGGATTTTTGGCCATTGGATGTGGGTCAAAATGTTTTTTTAACTCGATTTAAACTTGGTTCTAGGCACTGACTGAGTTTTTTTCGGACCCAGTCAAGCTTTTGTGTTTTTCAGGATTGTCTTTCATCTTTTTTTTTATTTTTTAAAAACTAATAGCTATAACTGATAAAGCTAAATATATTGGATTCGATGTGAGCCTCGAAGTGAAAATTTGTCATCTACTATACGATATTTTTGAGCTATTTGTTATTTCTATTAGCGTTATTTAGTGAATAGGTCTTGTCCAACCTTTTTCCGAGGAACTCTGTCCTGCATTGATACTTTCATTATGCAGCGCTTTCAACCTCTGACATATACAGATCGACTATATACGAAATGTCATTACCGTTAGTTTCCATGGCAATGTACTCAAACTATATTTTAAATATATAATCTACCTTTACCATTCCATAAATTACCTACTTTTTAAATAGACTCATATCCACCCAGCTCATTGAGTCCTACATACATAATCATAAGAACCAAACAATTTACGTTTGCTTTAATTTTTTCAAACCTTAACGGGGTGAATCCTTTGCTATATATAGATAAGTTAAAATATGATAATAAAAAAATATAGATAAAATAAGACATATAAGGTAAAAACAGCAAAACTATATGGATCGCAAGTCGCAAAGGCAGGCATTTCTGCGTAAAAATCGACAAGTGTCTTAGAGATTTCACAGACATATCATGGGAATCTTCCTTCGGATACAGTTTCTTTATTTCGAAAAGAAATCCTTAAATTGAAACGAAAGAAGCCAACTAAGAGCTATGCGCAGATAACATTGACTTCAATTTTCTGGGGAGCTTCCACCATAATAAAAAAATTAACAAATACTACGGTATGCGATAAATGAGGTATCCAAGTTGAGCTCAGAAAATGCTACGGTAATACATATGCCCAAGTGCACTGAAACGTGCTTACACATGACAAATTCAATCAGCATCGCTCGTTTGTAAGACCCTTAAATGGTCTTAAATAATTGTTCTTTGCCCCTCTCTCAGGCCAAGTAATCTCATTGGCAATGCACCAACATCAAAAAACAACAGTTTAAAACTATCTTTGACATGAATAAGAACATCTTATACAGTAGAGACGGGGCAGCTGTCCATTCGTGTCGAACGCCATAGCGTTCGATGCGAACGGTGTCGCACAGTTTGCCTATAAGATATCAGATACTTTGTTGTTAAAGGACATGATTTCTAATAAACGCATTTAGTGGCCTAGTATAATTTAAATTAACCTCCCATTGTGAAAATCACGCTGACTTGTCCAGTACGGGAAAAGAGTTTTCGTGACATGCAGTTGAAGGAGAAGCAAGAAAACTTCTAGCTATACATACAGGCTCACAGAGGCACCAGTCATCGTGTATCCGTGCTGACATGAAAGTCTACAGTTACAAGTTACACTGCAATAAATTTCTTTAACGGCTGAACTGTCGATATAAGTTCCTCACAAGAATAGAACTTCGCAAGGCACATCGTCCGAATTTTTAAAAAAACACCTATTTTACCACACTAATTATTGCAGACGATCAATAAGGACGTCTTACATTATGCTCTAATGTAATAATGATTCTGAATAATCGTGATTTTTCAAAACTTCGAATGACAAGGCGAAGTTTTGACTAGCAACAAAAAGTACCTAATGAAATAGACATAAAACATGTCAATTGTTTCAGATTGTCTAAACTTAATTAATAAATTTGTCATCATACAGAAAGTAGTTGCTTTACAGCATATTACTTACCAGATAGTGGAAGCGATTACTTTACGTATGTACGCGTTTACATATGCGTAATAATTTTTAGGTATAACCTTATTCTCGGAATGGTTAATTTAATTTAATTAGTTCAAAACACGGGAACCCAGTGATTAATATATTTGTGGAGAAAGTTCAGCGTTAAAGTTTATCGTTCACTTAATGCAAAACTTACCATATGACGCTTTCACCAGAACCTCATTTAACGACTTTATACTGAAGCCATTACGAACTGTGTGTCGTTAAAACTTAGTAGCCTTAGGGCAGTAATATCGAATATAGCATTTTACCTGTTTAAATGATACTATTTCAATTTTCAACCTCGTATCTAGAACTGTACATCTTTATCGCCATTATATGTTTCATACACAAACCCATTTCGAGTGGTTATTATTTGTGTTTGTTGACCAGCTCATTATATAGTCGCACGAAGCTCTAGCTTGAAGTGGAACTTCAACAGAATCAAATACAGGGGGAAGGTGTCAATTTTGTGAGTGAAAAAATAATACCTTACATCCTATATATAATGAGTAGGTTCCTGAAATTGAACTAAGCTTTCAGTAGGATTGTATTGTGTTCGACTGTCTCTTTAACTAAGACGACCATTAATTATGTTATGTGTTTCTTTCGTCATAGCGAAGTAGTCAAGGATCTTTAGTCATTGGTCATAATTAGACTTTTTAGCGGTTCATTGTTTGTATTCGTTGCGCACTAACTAGTGTTTTATTTTTAAAAAATAACATAAATTTAGTAAATTAGATTAGTTCAAGCGAGTGCGTTCATGCCAAGCACCTTGAGCAACATCATTAGTGTTTCTGTTCATTCTTCATAGGCCACCGTTCATCCTACATAGGCCAACTAAGTGTTCCTTTGTGCAATACGCCTCTGATGATTTCGGCGATATTGTTTCTATAGCTGGTTTAATGGTGACGTCTGCTAGTAAATGAAGTTGGCACTTAATGGTGCATAAGTTTATTTACCCGAGCTTTATGTCCCTACGATATATTTTATACGCATTTGAGGTGTACTTTAGGGGGTCCACCACTAGAAGTGTCTATGCGTAATTTAATTTTGTGCTCACGGGGGTTCCGAATTTCAAGCATTTTTATATTTAGCTTTTTCCCTTAGAAACGTTTAGAGGCATATGCGCGTCAAGGTAACTCATGCACCAGCGATACGTGTAAGTGACTCAAAAATAAGCCGGCAAGCCGTCCGTATAACGAGAAAGCTAACCAGCTTCAAAGACATGATATAGGTTTAGCCGAACTGAGTTCTGTATAAAACAAAATGACTGTATATTCTTTTATTATGGAATTCGTCTACAGGAAGGATCGGCATAACACCCGAGGGCTGCCAAATTAAGAAGTTGAATATTGATCACGAATGATTTAACCAGCAAGGACATAATTGTGGTGCCTAAGGAAAGCGACCTTGAATTTTACAGCCACTATTACAAGTAGATTACCTAATCTCCTCACTCGTAATCAGCAATTTAAAACGTCCCAATGCCCGATTGCCATGCTGAATTGGCTCTATTAATACACCCTAAAATCACTAAAAATTGTTATTAGTAACTCTTTCAAGCAAGCAATCAATAATAAATCAATTTTATTTATTAAAAATGCTTAACTATAACTCAATTGTTGCTACTAAGCTAAGCATATATGTCTGCCATCAATCTGAACGTTTACAAAGCTCCTAGAACGCTAAGCCTATTGATATCAGTAGGCCAACGTCGCTTCTCCACGATCGACAATGTTCAATAACATTTTTCTGCAATTGTCGTGAATTGACCGTGAAGTTTATCTTTTTCCAAGTGAGACTCATAGCCAATAGCACTCATTACTATGCTTCATGGATATGTGCCTATAGTTTATAGCATAGTGCCATGCTTTATCAGCATTTTTATGCACTATTTAGGATGCTGTCTACGATCTAAATGACGATGACCTAAAAGACAATATACAAAATAGGAAAGACGCCATAGGCCTGATCCACCACCTGTTCTACCGAAAAACCATTATTTTTAATTATTATAGGCCAGTCCTGTGATTTATAATAACGAGTTCACCTTTCGTCACGGCAGATAATTACTGATATTTTACTAAGCCAAATAGGCAAATGGACAGAAACAGGCGACCAGAATCAAACGACTACGAATAGGCCAATGATCTATCGCCTCGACGCACGGTACTCCAGACTTAACTGTCGAAAGAAAAGTAATGGCTCTTCAAAGCGGTCAAGAGGACGATGTGTCTAACTAAAATTTGGAAACAGATGTCGCAAAGTGTTTACTCTAATTAAGTTATGGGGACTATGCAATGACAACAAATTAACGCGAACAACAATACGAATTATTTTGCCTCTTACGGTCCCAAAGCCACGTGTCTTATTAATTACTATTTCTTAGGAAGCAGTTTATAAGGCGCGTGTAAAACGACTCGAGTAAATTTTCGACATTTTTGGTAAGTTGCGTACATGTGCTCTTCTAGTCTAGTTAGGGCATTTCTTCAGGCCGTGGGCAAATTTGCCAGCGGGGCCTGGTGTCGGCTGCAGCTTTTGTTGGCAGCATAAAGGATGCAGGGAAGATGTTATGACCCGACCGTAGCAATTAGGCCCTTCTAATGACTCATAAACGAAATATAACCCATAAAGAAGGGCCTGCGCAAAACAACAACCATGATCCCGCCATTCTCGGACGGTGCTCCTTTCCCCGTTTATCTGCTCGTTCGGGTTAAGTTGCATTTAGGCCAAGTGCTTAAACGTTATACCTGCCTAGGGTCGAGACTAAGAGCCATTATTGTATCGTTTATTCAGTTTCTTGCACGTCCAGCTTTTACCTCATAGCGTTGTTCAGATCAGGGATTAGAACCCCACTTAAAATGGTCTTGAAAAGGTTCCTTTACCTTTTGATATTTCGAGCTATGTAAAAATTTAAATGAAGTTTTATTATTTGTAAAAGGTCACAGCGGTAATGCATATCTCGTTGCAAAAAAAAAGTAAGCAACCCAACTGTAGAGTTGTTGCACAAGTTTAAGACTACAGTTTCTTCTTGTTCCGGTATATTTATGCAATAATAATGTTAAAACGACCCTATAGGTTTTCGGCTTCAATTTTCGCTATTAAGGGTTTTGTTTTTGGTAAGATAGCCGGTCGTCTGCTAATATATAATATCAAAAACAACGAGATTAGGACGGTGAAATGCATAGAGCGTTCTTGTCGCATATTACATACAGGGTTAAGCTAAAGCGAAAAGGGCTACTTGAAGTATTATAAATTACCAAAGATTTTACATTATTTATTACTATTACAGAATAGATTTATACGTTACCATAAAGGGTTTAAAAGAGTCATTCTACAGTGTTCCTGCGACAATGGGAAACTTATTTTATTTCTAATAAAGTTCGACCTTTTACATTTAACTTTGTTAAGTCATTATCTTTCTGCAACAAGACGGCACAGCTTCAACTATAAAAAAATATCGCTGCCAAACTAACGAGCTTGGTTATTTTTTCTTCATATTTTTTATCACAATACTAGAATAACTGAAGTGTTAAATACAAATGCATGTATCAATACGACTAAGAGTTTGCCAACCGATAGTCAAGACCCTTCTTTATGCAAAACATAAACTATGATCTATTTTGCACTCCTTTAATATTATTAAGGTACGGCTCCTGGCTATCATGGGGACGCCCTCTATCTTCGAAAAGGAGTGAAAGAGATCATAACAAGCTCACAACCAGCCTTACAACTTACCGGGCACGTCATCAAGCAGAAGGTATTGTTAAGTTAACGTTGCTTGAATTAATTTCGTCACTTTTAAGTATCATACATTTGTACGTATCATACAAGAATCCTAAGTTCAAATAGGTATTATGGATTTGATTATCAATGGACGCTCAGATGTCGAAATGCGTATAGGGCCTGCATTGGTTCCACGAACTATTTCGGCAAGCACTTTGCGACATTATATTCTGCTAAGAAAACATAGGCATTCTATTAACAGGCCTGCTGCGTTTCTATGATAATGATATGCACACGTTTTAGTAAACTGGCCTCCAAACACTGGATTTTTATCACCAGCGTCTGATAATATTTCCTGAACTACATACTACCCAGCAGACAATCCACACACAAGTTAATCAGACTACATACTTATCTAGTCAACACATTGGTGCCCATAAAATATCAAACTATACAAAATAACTTTTCCTTCTACATCAGACGTTGTAGAGATAGGCATTCTTATCTTACGTCTGAGAATTAATGCTTTAATGACTAGGGAGGAAAGAATTAATGAAGTATCAATCATCGTATTGTATTGGCAGTTCATTTAAATTAGAAAGTCTGAGATAAAATCTAGCAATAATGGCCAAGACTATATTGGTCCTGTGTAAACAAACCTTATTGTCATATGCGGTATATAGGCGAGTGTCGGAAGACCCCATCCATATCCGTATCGCTGAAATGAAAAAAGAGAGACGCATATTATTTAGCGCTTCCTCGGCCATCCGTTTTATCCAGGTGCAAGTATTGTTCCTGTTCATTGTGTATATTGCTACCCTCAAAATACTCGATGACTTAGTTATTTCAGGTAGATTCCCCTGAATGATAAAGCGAAATGTAGGTAGGCGAAGGGAAGACACTTTTCGAACAACTAATCCACTGGCAGCCTCTGAACATATAAAAAATTCATTTCAATTCAAGATACACAAATAAATCTAAAAGATGTAGCCTTCATAGGTCTTCACTAGCTGGATATAGAGCTTAGCTTCATATTGCTATAGTACGATTTGAAACCGTGACGCCGTCTGATGCGGTTATTGTGAGTCACAAGAAGATATTTGGTGTATACGTACTATATTATGTATGGCACTAGCATCTTATTTTCGGATAATGTTAATATTCGATTGCGATACACAACTCAAGTCAAAAGAAGAAAACTGACAAACTTATTAATGGGACTATACAATGGGAGTAAATAGGTGCCAAAGACAGGACGCACATACTCGACACTGACGTCAATCATCTCAGTGATTTAAACATTGAAAAAAAAAAGAAAAAAAAAAAAAAATGATAAACTAGTGAACAAATGGTTCCCGGACTGTTGAAACGTCAACAAAGTAGCGACGACGTAAATCTCTTACTAACATGCTGCGAAGTGTTGAAACAGCTGAAAGGGTCAACGTAGCCTATCGATTTGAGCTATCTCAAGAATCAGATTATTTATAATTCACTACAAAAGCAAACTTCTGAACTCTAAAAGACTTCCGAATGTCATGAGCCGTGTTTTTATCTATAAAATTATACACTTTCGTCGCGTCTTCTGGCTTTTAGCGTTTCCTTTCAATCGACCAGCGACAGCAATCCCTTTCAATAAAAGAACTTCGAATTGTGCTTTTGAGGTATTGACATCATTATAAAGCATGCTCGTGCCATACTTTTTTTAGGTAATATGTACAATCTATTTAACAACCGCTCTGCATAATAAGTAATAACGTATTTGGTTACCTTTGTCAGACAATTTTTTCAAACTTTTATCGGTTTCCTCGCTTTCTCCACAGAAATTCACGTTACATACCATATTAAGCAAATTAGTATCCTACCGCCATATAGGTTTTGTGTATTTATGTATGATATTTGCAGCACATATTTCGTTTTCCACTTTGACTTGATAATCCTTCCGGTTTAACACATATACAGAATACTTATGTCCAAAGATGATTCCTAAAGAAAATCTCCTATTTTCATTTTTTATCATTCGAAGTTCATCTGGGACAACAGAGTACTCGAATGCTTTCAAGAGCAGCAGTAAACGAGAACATTGGTCTTTCGACGATCATTGATTGTGGAAGGCTGCGGGGTTTCTGCTTATATCACTCATACTGCCCCTGTCGTCTTCCGGTATAGATGTTAGCGCTAATTAAGTTTTGTGCAGTGCCTCCGGTCACAGCTAAGAGACAGGGCCGCCCCGTCCCCGACATTGGACGCATCTTGATAAAATGACTCTGCATGGCGTCTGTAGCACGATCCGTGGCGCTGTTTCAGATTTCCTTCAAAAGGTTGTTCCTTCAAATAACCACATTTGCTTTACGGTGACTTGGCCGAATGCTCCGGCCCTTAATAACTTGTATAAAAATTGCGGATACTGCCCTGTTCTGCAGGCTACATTCAGTAAAGCTAAATAATTTGAGTATTTGGTAGGACTATGGTGTGAAGTATGCCCGCTATGAAAAAACAGTTTAACAGCTGCGTCAATTTCTCAAGTCTCTAAAGTCAGCCGATGACAACACGCCTAACAATAATTAGACTTACATTACCCTCAAACAACTGATAGAACCTAAGCACTATGTCTACGATATATCGTTTTGTGGTATTGTTATCCGCTTCTGGTTGTAACATGGCATACAATTTACAAAGCTACTTATAAAAAAACCAAAAAATAGCGTACGAAAATAATTTTCAGTATGGAGTAACTTATAGGAACAATACACCTTACCACTATCTTACCTAGGCTAGTCGTGCAATGCATACAACACATTCAAACAGTTTAACATAAGTAATTTTCCTCTGTATTTAGTACTGCATATTATCTACGCGCAATTTATGTGATTCACGCCAACTTACTTGACATTGTTTAACATTTGTACAATAGCGATAGTGTTCATTTATAACAAACTTTTCAAAGAAATTTAGTCTATTTTGAAAATGTGCTATTTATAAGAACTTTATATCCTATATTCGCAAGTAAGCCTGTTTTTCATTTGAAATGTTGTCTGCATCCATAGAAACTTGCCACGGTTCACGCGCTGGCTTCTGCTGCTCCGGTGCCAGTCGCTGTTGACAAGCCTATCATCTATCAGCAGCCAAGTCTCTACGATGCTGTGCAGCCTAAGCCCATCGTTCAGCCAATTAACGTTGCTAAAACTGTTGTAGGTCAGCTGCCCTTGGTCAGGCCTGCTTTTCAGGTTTACCAGACCTTCCAGCCCATGGTCCACGTCGCCCCCAAATCGATTCAACTTCAGAAGCAAATCGTTCAGCCTTTTGTCCAATCAGTCGTACATTACAAACCTCTTGTTTATCAGCAACCAATAATGCGACTTGTTCCAGTCCCCAAAACCGTTGTTTATCAGCAGTCCCTCGTTCAGCCCGCGCCCAAAGTAAACATCGAAACGTACCAGCACGTCGAATCGCTTAGTACTGCCAGGCAACCAAAACTCATTGTTCCTGTCTCTGATGTCCTGGCCGGACCGGTAATGGAACCAGTTGTGCAGAAGGCTGCCGTTGCGCAGCGCGTCACACTAAAAGAGAAAAAGATTATTGTGACACCACCCCCCGCATACACAGGCCCTCGACGCCGACCTCAGAAACTCATTGAAGATCCATCGCAATCGTACGAAACCCCTGAACTCCCGAAACTTACTCCCAAACGGGTACCTGGGTATACTCCTGCCCTTGAGGACTTCGAGGACGATTATGATTCGATTACCGCTGCTCCGCCATTGCATCGTGACCGTGTAACGTACTCGCCCGACCAACGCGTCCTTGCCATCTCAAAGTTCACACCTCTGTACATCAAGCCAGGTGGCATTACCAGGAAATCAGGCTCATTCCCTCCTCTAGCTGGTCCGCCCTCCCGACGAGCCCGCGCCTAACAGTCATTCTCAATATCTCGCTCCCCATAAGTTCCACTGTTCCGTTGATCACATAACATTACATTCACTATTTCATTGTTACTGAATGAGATCATCTGATATATTTCACGACGGGTACAAGAGCGCAAGTAGGTATACTCTCTACCGAGTCAAGGAACTAGGTACAGCATTGCAAACTATATATGAACTGTTTAGTCATTAATTACTTGGAAATTATCATCTGTGTTTTATTTATGGCTTAGAGAGTTATGGCCAGTTTCTTTTTGACATGTATACAATATATTCTTTATAAAATAATTATCATTTTTTAAGAAAATTCAACAATATACTTAGTGTTAGGTATCGTCTTAGTGCTATGGATATAGCTGATCAATATCAAACGTTAAATTACAATTTCGCATTGTTGCCATATTGAGAATCGAGATTCAGAAACTTCCCTGAATAAAGATAAAATTCTCTAAAGTGAGCGTTAGCTGTTTTCATTTAATACTAGAATCTTATGGTTTCATATTAGTGTGTCATGAATTTCTTCAAGGAGGACATTTTGATTTTAAAAAAGAGCTAAAATCTAAAAATAGTTCTCCCTTTCCAAATCTTTCAGTATCCAGAATCGGCCAGACATCGTTTACCGTAATTAAGACCGGGGTATAGTCGATTATTTTTACTGCCACGGGAGTCATGTAGCAAAGGCGGTAGACCTGAGACAGTCGAAGCAGTGTTTAATAGCAGAACAGATTGTGAAATTTAACAATTGAACGGTATTTCGGTGATGGCAGAGAAGCTAGCAAAGGTGGTATAATATAGCAATTTGACATCTGCACAAAAGGTTTTTAAAGATGTTTCTTAAAAGGAAGTACCCATGTACACAGGAAGATAATGGCCGTGACCTGATGCGTCCGTGGTAGTATCCGTGAAAATTTAAAACATGAGTTTATGAGGCACCCTAAGCCGAAGGTCGACCAAACAGTGATGCCAAATGCATGGAAAATCAATACCTTGACCAGTGATGTAACAGAGAGGAGAAAATAGCCTTTCTGTTGACTGACCAGGTTAAAGCTTCGACTTCTATTAAACGTGAGTTACTCTAAACTGTTAATTTTTTTTTAGAGATCACGAAAACTATGTAAAAATTTTTCCAGGGATGAGGCATTTGACTAAGAGACAAAATTTTCTTTGAAAAATTACTAATACTGATTTTCCAGAAAGTTTGTGTTTTATGGTATGAGAAATTTCTAGGGTATTTCATAGGTAGCCTTCTAGAAGTCTTTTTGGCACTAAAGCTTTAATAAACTGAAAACCTAATCCTCTATTAATAAACTACGTATTTTTCATGTCTTTTTTTGGTTTTTTTGAATAACCTTCACACTAATTGTGTGTGAAATCTCCAAACTTCTACACCTTTTCACAGGCGAACAGGTAACAATGTAAGTTTCGTTTTGTAATGTTTCGTAAGTTGTGGATCAACCCGAACGGGAAGGTACATATGAATATATCGATGGTGCGTGCTGGACTTGAACGCGTCGTGCAGGGTACGCTCAAGCCAGGCTCCAACAATTGTCGAGATGCATTCCGTCACATGCGGTCATTGTTAAAAAGATGTTCGAGTATTCCAGAATTTATGAAAAGGTCATGCCAGCTGTTTTGGGCTAGAAATGGGAAATCATTGAAGCAAATGGAAACTAATAGTGGGTAAAATATAATCGTTCATTCGGGATATCAAAGCAAATTCATATGATTGTTACCATTGATTTTTATCTAAAAAGTCTGGGTTATATACACCTTTTGAGTCTCATTAAGACTTTCAATGAATCTGACACAGCATTTTGAAACAAATTCGAAACATAACACCCAAAAACAACATAAAAACCCATAGCCAAAGGAAGAACTTTTCGTGTAAACAACATACATCCGTTTCAATATATGCTGCTCGCGCAGAAACTGTAAAGACAACATTGGTTTAATTCAAGGTAAAAATTCGGCTCAAGTCCATCGGCAGCTCGAGTAGAAGGTATTAATTATCCCTTTTTAATTATTTTCATAGAAGAAAATCAATTCTCTGAACTTCGCGCATTTGCGGGAAAACTCTTCGCACTGTTATAGATACTTAAAAGCATTCTTTTTGAAATCCAATATCAAGTTTCGTGAATCGAAACCAAATATTCGAACGCCGGTCTTCTTGAAAGACGTTGCTCTCTTGTTATCTTCAAGAAGATCAAAGGAGAGCTATTAGGTCAATGGAGAAGCAGTTGAACATGTTGCCTTTTTATATATATATATATTTTTTAAGTATAGAATCTTCAATTTGCGCTTGTGAAGTGAAACTCTTAGTAGGAACATAGTAATGCAACACAAAATACCGACCGGTGTTCGTCTCAGAAGTGGGCCCTTTGCTACGTAACCACCACAGCTGAATGAAGCCGCTAGGTCTTTTTGTTTGCATCTCCATAGTCGGAGCCCTATCGTCAAATACCCATATAGCCACCTGGCCTATACCTCTTGGATCAAGCTACTATATTAAACAGACCCTCTGGGAGTATAGGTTACATTTTTTTTAAAAATCACTACAACAAACTAATAAAACACTATGTAACTCTTGCGAAACGAACTAAAGTGGAATAGATTATCATTATATCTGATGTATGCATCTCACCAAAGGGATGAAAAAGGTAAATATCCCGCTCTGGCTATATAGGACTTGCTACCTATTACAAACGTCCTGTCCTACATGTTTAGCTTCAACGGAGCCATTCTTGGCATCACGAAATACGCTATTACTGTTCGTTTTTCTGTGAGGGAGTGCGGAATCTGTCTGTAATATATCTTGTAGACTTCAAGTGTTTACCCGAAGCCCTATTGATCTTTGGCGAACTAATAATTAAGAACTCTTCCATTGCTCTGTCGTACTTTTGGATTTTCCTTAACCGTAACTTTTACACGACCAGCTATTTTTTTATTCAAGCTTTGAAACTAGAGTCATATTTTCCCTTCTCGTTGAAGACTAAGAAGCGAGATGAATATGGAAGGCCTTAAGGAAATCACTTCATCAAAAGCTGTCAAAAAAACTTCTCGAAAAAGGCTAGCTATTGAAACCACTTTTCAAATCGCAATATGCCTTACCCAGATTAATCAGGCTATTCTGTATCTCTAAAAGGGGTGAGTCTTTGGAAAAGCATAAATGTTATTTGTGTGCCTTGGGGCACATGCAAGTTGGCGCCGTAAGCGATTGGTTGTTTTGCTTTATTATATTCTATTCATCTCTACAACAAAACTTCAGTTGATCCAAATAATTCTAAAAATTAGTTGAATAAAACTACATAAAGCTGAGGCTCACGGTTTGAAAGGAAGTGAGCCATATATGAAACAAACGAGTGACCTACTTCTAGCCCCTGTAGGTTCCTGCTCAGCCAGGTTCATTATGTTTTATACGAGACCTGATTTTTAACGTAAGTTAAAACAGGGCCTTTAGGATACATTGCTTTTGTCGACACTGCTCATTTACAAGTAGTACGGATTCGCAAAGCAGTAAGTCTATTGTAGTAAACTAGAAGCGTCACCGAACGAACTACTATGAGAAATTTTCAAGCCAGGAGCGTTGCAAGATTTTTATACAATAGTTATACGATGCACCTATATCTATGGGACGTCAATTAATTAAGTTAATCTTTTATTATGAATAATTGTTGCGTACAATGATACTCAATGAGGAGGAATAGCAGAACAAACAAATAATGTTTTAGCTAAAAGTAAATTTTTATCTGACGCACACAAAGCACACGTCATTGCTGTTGTAGCTAGCCATAGTCACGAAAATTACTTGAAAAAAGAAATGGTACCTTGATGTGTTAATGATGAGTGAAGTGGTCGTACACGGCAGCACCGTACAAACACGCAATCGGTCACAACTTCTTATAGTCGCGTATGGTTAAATTGCCAAAATAACGTCACAAGACGACAAAAAAAAAGGCAGAAATAACGAAAGGGCGGAAACTAATCGGAAATATAAACTAAAATACAAGGATTGCTACAAAGTTGAGCGAAATGAGAATATTGTTAAAATAGGATGATATGACCGTATCCACCTCACTTCAGTCTGAATGAAGACTCGCCTGTTTGCGGATACACTCACAATAATAATAATAATAATAATGTAGGAAATACAAATAATGACTTAATCAACTATGGCTTCTATCTGAAAGGCAAGTAAGCTCACAGTGGCAAGAAATAGACAATAAGATTTGATTGAAATTTTCCATAATTTTTTTTTTTTTTATTTAACGACGTAATGTGATTATTCAGTTTCTAATACATTGCTATTGAATTAAATGGTATTGGACAAACGATCACAAATGCTTCGACTGGCAAACACTGTTAACTTTCATATCACCGTATAAAGGGAAATAGCACAGAATATCTACTATACTTCCTTCCGGTCATACGCTGAAATATGGCCTATTTGGCCTGTTGGCGTCGTTATTACTGACTGGTTGTTGACGACAACCTTGAAGAGCGTTATTAGTGCTAGCGGATCAATAGAAAGACTGAATGTGTCGCTTCAAAAGAATGACTTCATACTTACGTAAAGCTTGCTTGAAAACCAAACATCTTCAAGGATTAACTACTTATGTGATTAATTGTAAAAATAAATCCAGCTACAAATATACTACTTCTTGTACATGGAGAAAAAAACTACGACAGTGTTCTGATACAAAAACTGAAATGCGAGACTGGACCGTTTTACTTTAGGTCGTTGAGCTTTTATAAATGAGCTCGGGAGATGCCGATAAATGCTTCCACGAGTAGTTCTGAATAGGTAATATTAGTAACTCGTTGATGAAGTCCGTTGGAAAAAAATGGAACTTCGACCAAACCATGATCAACAATCAATGAAAACGTCAATTAATGTGCTGTATTATTATTATTTTGTTTATTAAAAACGCTAATAACAAATGCCTTCAATAAGCGTCAACCCCTCGAACAACTACTTCGGCATGGCAGCTGCAATGTCCTCTTTTTTTTTTTTTTTTCGTTTCTACACTGTCGTCCTGCGCATTTGTTTGCCTGTTAACCCCGACCTCGTCAATCATTCATCTCTCGACTAATCAGAGCAATTGATCATAATAAATGTTATAGCAATAAATCCATAATAAAAATTAGCGTTGCCCTAATTGGCCAACTCCACGAGCATTCAGACTGTGGTCTGTAGAACTTTTCCTTACGACTTCTGCGCCTCTTATTATTGTCCTTTACAAGTTATCATCGCGACAATTAGCGTTAGTGCCTCCACTTCTTGCCCCTATCTTTGACAGCAGTATCAAGGCTGCGTTGAAACGCTGTGTTCTCAGGGGCAACAATTAATTAATTCGACTAAATAACGACTCAGTAGTGTAATATAACTACTAACAATTTCATGTATGACTTATAACGGTAACCAACTTTACTAGAATGACGTTTTGCTTCGAACGTTTT